TATTTTTGCCTTATGAACTTGCTGAGTTTGAGAAACACGAGAGCTGTTTTTGCTACACATACTTGCTGATTTGGGCTTACATGCTATAGTTTGGAACACAATTAAGTGTTGTTTGGGGCATTTCGAGGGCTAATTTTGGGCAGTTTTGGCACCGTGTTGGAACCACTTTGACACCGTTTGGGCAACATTTTAGCACTGCTTTGTGCATCAATTTTTGCAGAGATTTATGTAGCCTTTAAGTGCTGATTTACACGGTTTTAAAATTGAATTTCAGGAGCCCTTCTACCCACTGTTTTGAGGTTTTTTCTGTATTATTATTTAAACGCTTTTAGGCCGATTCACTTACTGTTTTCCCCATTTCGACCTTATTAGTTTTGGAAGTGGGTCGGCCTCCTCATTCTTTTGTTTTATTTATTTTTAAATGGTTAAGTCAAAAATGAAAATTTCTGATTTAATTATTTGGAAGACACTTATAAATATTTGAGGCTTAGTTGAAAAAACACTTAATTGAGGGTGAAATGTCGTGGAATCACTTTAAGCACAAGTTAAAGTGTAAGTTTCTTAGATTTTAGGAGTACATCCTAAATGAGAGCCCATCTACCTAATTCTCAGTGTAGGCTTCTTGGATTTTAGGAGCACACCCTAGGTGAGTGCCCATCTACCTAATTCTTAGTGTAGGTTTTCTAGATTTTAGGAGCACACTCTAAGTGAGAGTTCATCCACCTAATTTTCACCTAATTTTTCAGTGTAGGCTTTTCAGTGTAGGCTTCCTAGATTTTAGGAGCACACCCTAGGTGAGCGTTTATCCATCTAATTTTTGAATAAATAACGAAACTAGACACTTGACCCTCATTCACAAATTGATTAAGACATTAGACATGAAGATGCACTGAGACGTAGTTCATGCTCCTTAATTAAATCAATTGTGGAATTCCCGTCATGACTTAAACTATAGTGAAACCCAGTGCACCAGGATTTGAGCTTGGATATTACACTCAAATTCTCCTGGCAATATAAATCACCAGACTAGGATAAGTCTAGGGTATAGGTGGCGAGGGCGATGACGGCATTACTTATGTGTGCTTAAACGAGAGATACGAAGTGTGATTATTAGAATAATATCTCCTACTTCAATGATCTTCAATAAGGGAGAGAAAATGATCAATGATACTATTCGTCGATTCTTGGTGGGATCGTTGTTTCTAATGCTCTTAGGTTGTCAGTAGTTCCAGCACGATTAGAGTGACTGACCGTGGACTACACGACTTTACAAAATATTGACAAAAATAAAATAAAAATTTCTTTTGCATGTTAAAAAGAACTCTGCATAAAAAAAGGGGGACTTAAACAACATCTTTTGCATGAATATCAAAGAATTTTTCTGTGAAAATTTATAAAGGTCCACAATTAATCATTCAGATTGAGGTTAAGGACTGTCTTCTGTAGATTGTCGGGTTGGTAGCTCTTGTTCAAGATAGCACACAACCCAGCTCTGAGCCCCTACTTCTACCAATGTCTTACACCAGTCCTGGTCTTTCATATGTGGCTAAGGGTTTCTTTTGCTTGCGATTTCTACGACTCGTTTTTTTCTTACTTTCATGCTGAGTTTTCTCGCTTTGTTTATTTTTCTTGCAAATTTATTAGAATCTGCTGCAAATCATAGTATGCTCGCAATATTAATCACGTAATAGTAGCAGATGCTCAGGTACGCTTTTACAGTTTATCTACAATATTTTACTTTTCAATATGTTTTTTATTTACCTGCAATTTGCTTATTCTGCATGTAAAATTAGAATTAAAACAAAAAAAAATCAAAACAAAATAAAACCAAACTTTGACACCAAAACTGGGAAACATAAATCACCAATTTCAAACACTACAAATGGATGTGGTCGTCATTCTACAACAGCAAAACAAGTCTAGGTTAAACTTTCTCTTTAATCTAATTAACAACCCATAGGACTTTGAAATGTGGTCGTCATTCTACAACAGGAGCTTGGAGTAACTTCGTGGGCAGCGCGACATGGAGCTTGGAGCGGACTACAAATGGATGTGGTCGTCATTCTACAACAACAAAACAAGTCTACACCGGTTAAACTCTCTCTTTAATCTAATTAACAACCCATAGGACTTTGAGGTAGCTCGCCTAGCGCGATGTAAATCCTCATCCCTTTTTAAGGCTCCTGCACGACTATGTTGTGCAGCGTAAGTCCTAATTCACTTTAGGTTCTAAGGATGTCGTTCGTTACGACGAAAACACTCATCTCTTTGCATGCTATTTGCATAATCAGTCATTATGCAAGTGTAAATCCCAAATAATAAAATTGCAAGATTGAACACTCAAATAACATCTTCTCCAAAACATAGCTACACAGTAGGATAGTTTGGGAAGTCACTGAGGTTTCTCCTCAGGGATTGAACACAAACTAATCTCTGCATAACTCAATTTACATAAATTATTGAACATCAATTATTTAACATCTTCTCCAAAACACAGCTACACAGTAGGATAGTTTGGGAAGTCACTGAGGTTTCTCCTCAGGATCTGTGACATCCTCTACATATTCCTTCTTTTGGAATTCTGAAATAATTGTTTCTATTTGAGTTACTCCCACTTGTTTTTTCACATCCTACCGTGAAAACATAAACTTTGAAATCTTAAAGACTAATACCTCTGATCATTATCGAGAGTTTTCTCAAGTAATCCCAGTCATTTGTGATGTAATTAACTATAGGGGTTTGCCTTTATAGAACACTGAAATCTTAAAGACTAATACCTCTGATCATTATCAAGAGTTTTCTCAAGTAATCCCAGTCATTTGTGATGTAATTAACTATAGGGGTTTGCCTCTATAGGAAACTTGGAACCCAGGTAAAATAAATCATATTTATTATTTATATTAAATAGGGGCACTTGTCGATCACACATAAAAAGGTTCGCAGACCAAACGATATCACAATTCTCTTAGTTTGCAGGATTGGGTCTATCGCCGAGTTATACACTTATTTTTCGGGAGGGTGTAGTATTCGCGGTATCAGACATAATTATGCAAACTATTGGACAAATGAAATCTATTTGGTCTCATTTTTCAAAACTAAAACACGCTACTTTCAAAACCAAAAATATATACCGCTTATATTTAAATTAAATTTCAAGATTGCTTTCATAATTTTCAATTTTCAAAAAGTTGACTGATAGAGACCAGATAGACTAAACCATACCGGTACAGTAGGAGATTCATGATTTGGGTCAAAATCAGAAGACCACTTGAAAGACCACTTGAGAAATCAGAAGACCACTTGAGTAACTTCATTGACTTGCATGCAATTTTAAGATAATTTTTGGAGAAAATCCGAGTGTAGGCTTCAACCACAGTTAATTAAATCAACACATGTCTCCCATCCATGAACCACAATTTTCACTTTCCTACTAGTTTGAGATCATCAAAATTTTTTTTGATAACTTTCATACGTGGGTGAGCCCACTGAAATTTTCTAATAAGAGCGAACTTGAATTTCTCAGTTAGGGTTGAAATTTCTAAGTTAAAGAAAAGAAGTGTTGCTTTCCCACTTTTCCTACTCGCCTTCTTTTATAGCTGGAGGGAAAGACAACTGCCGACTTCACCTGAGGATTAACTATCACGTGGGCAAAAGAGGCGATGTCAGGTTCAACCGAAGAAGGGAGCGCCATCAGAGCAGGGAAATCTACCTGCTAGCAGATTCCGAGATAATTGTAGCGAGGTGCAAAAGAATGCGAAGCTGTCGGCGTCAGGAGAGGCGAACGTGCAAAACCCTGGCGCAGCAGTCGAGCAGGGTCAACGAGTTAAGACGAAAGTGGAGGATGACACACAATCCCTTCCCTTTTCCGATTTCCGTTGCGCCGCAACCGACCTCGTAACAGAAATCGCTGCGACATAGAGATCCGATGAAGGAGACTACGAGCGAGCACTAAGAAACCAGCGGAAGAGTGTGTGTGTGTGTGTATATATATATATATATTATATATATATATATATTTTGCCTTAATAGTTGATGATATGAGCATAAACATGTCGAGTTGAACTCAAACCAACCTGAATTTGATATAGAGCTTGGTTAATTAATTGAATTCGAGCTCAATTCTTCAAGTTGAAGTTGGCTCACAAGTCGACTCATATATTTTGAAAGAGAAAAATAAATTTGATTTTTAATATCAATGTAATAGAATGAAAAAAATGAGAAAATGAGAAATTAGATAAGAAAATACTTGATATAAGATATAATTTTTAAATATTTTTAACAAGCTAGTATTTATATTCTAGTATTTTAATATATTTTAAATGCATTTTATATTAATATTTTTAAATGAGCTGACTTATGACCTAATGAATCGAGCTGCGGTTGGCTTAAGTTTAGCTTATTAGTATATTGAGCACAATTTGCGAGCCATTTACTAAGCTGAGCTTGAGCTGGCTCATATGTTGTCTTCACAAAAATTGCACCCCTAGTTGATTACTATTTTTCATGATTTTTTATAGAGTATACGAGTTACAAAAGAAAATTGTGCATAACTAATCTAAAACATCATTTAACATTGATCAATTTATAAAACTAATTCTGGATACTTTCATGTGTTTTTCTATGATCTTTTTTAGTCATGTCATACGATAATACATCTAAATGGATAATTTATTTATAGTTCTACATCATGTAACTGCCTTGATAAAAAGATAGAGGTTTATTGGCCATTTTATTTTTTGGATTTCGGATTTGGATGATGATACACAGCTATAAGTTATTATATAAAATGCTTGTGGGGTGCGTGATGTAATGAATTGTCCACTTGAGATTATTCTGCTGTTTTGTATAAATTTTTTTGGTAAAGTGACATATATCTTGTTGATAATCGTACTAAAAAAATGCTTAATCTATTAAAACATGTTATCATATTGAATTATCTATCATTCACAATTTAATTATTCCTTTTCATTTGGAGCTCATTAGAGGAAGAAGACACATACCTTCTCAAAAAGATTGAGACAGTCCCGATTGTCCTTAAAGTCAACTTTTGCCCAGTCAATTCCTTCTTGGATATATTCCTAGCAAAAAAACATCAATATAAACTTTTTGTGAAATTAATATTTAATTAAAAATTGATATGTGCTTTAGCAAAGAAGTAGTGAACTGTCAGTTAAAACATGCTATAAATCATCAAATGGCATAAACCTGCCTGATTAAACAAAGAAAAATACTAGAGATTATTGAAGGCTTGGATGAATAAATCCCATGCTTATATCATAATCTACATCATGCAAATTTGTAGGACACCAAATTTTATAAAATTTTAAAAATTTATCATGCATTAATTATGCATCTGTAATAACCTAACAGACAATACATTGACCTGTTATTTGAACCAAAAACCATTCTCCAAACTAATATTTTTCTGTATTATTACATTTGAATACAAGATAGTGTGCTTGTGTGTTTTATGTGTCTCCATATGCACTTGTGTATATGCGTGTGCAGCATGCTTGTGTCTATGGATGCAAGCACACATGCATGTCCATATGTGTGTGTGCACATGCATGTCCATATGTGCATGTGCACGTGCGTATTAGCATGCATTTTGAATGTGTATTTTTTTAAGATAAATGTATGTATATACATGCATTTAATTATGTGTATGTGCACGTGCATATGTGCATGGATTCATTTCGCTAAGACTTTTGTATGGAAATATGAAAGTTTTGGTGAGAGATGTGTAAATACATTAAAATTGTGTGCTACGCATAAAAATTTGCCTTAAATGTTTTGATCTAATTTCAACTATAACCATACATTTACTCTTATGTTTTGTAAACACATGCAAACAAATAAAAAGATCACCGGCTAAGACATACATAGAATAATATTTTACTTATTTGCATTCAAGGTTGGCAAGATTTGGAAATAATACAAACAATAAGGTTCCCATAAGATAGCAAATATGCGTAAACAATGAAAAAATACGAGCCATTTATCGCCATATAAAGCTTTATTATCATTATAAAGTGTAGGAAATGAATACTATATTCCTTTACTAGTATCAAACATTAGATGCTAACAATTGGACAACTCGCAATTAGTTCAACTACATAAAGGAACCAAAAGCATTAAAGTTTAACAATCCATCATCTATATCCTCAACTCCCATCCGGCTTGAATGCATATAAGAAATGTAGAATTATTCTAAACTGCTTATATCATTTACTAATGACTTAATGATCAAAATGGTTTGATTCTAGAGGTAATCCAAACCACAACAGGAAAAATAAATATTATTACTGAAAGCAAACAAGTAGTTACAAGTGACACATTGAAAGGGAAATAGTAACAACAGACAGACAAAACAACTAAAGTTACATCCCAAGGGTGCTTGTTGGTTGTAAGAGAGGCAGGGGGGGGTGA